ATATCTTAGTCCGTGCTCGAAACTCGAAATTTTCATATTTTTTTTTTATTCTGTTGGATGCACTGTATGAAATTGCTTATACTTTATACCATGAACTACTACACAGGACTGGACACTATTGGCAGGAGGAGAGTAGGGGGTCGTCCACAAAGTTGTACATATTCGGTACACATGCGACACAGCGCACAGTGTTTTAAAATCGAAAAAAGCTGGCCGAAATTAATTATTCCTAAATTGTGTACCATAACAAATCAAAAAGTATTGAATCGTGATTTGTAAAGGTCCTATAACTCAAATCTGTTATCAGCTTTATAATACACCCCTTTTTGGGGGGGGGGTTAAGGGTTTTTTTTCATTTAATGTAATTGATAGTGTGGCATATCGATATATATGTTATTGAGGTTCGAGAACCCAAATTTGATATAATTTTATATTTATCATTAAAAAAATAATTTTGTAGAACAACTTACTATACTTTTATTATTACATTTTTTTATTTATACCTATATTATAAGATTAAATTAATTATTAAAAAAAAATTATAATTTTCACAATTTTTGATTTGTGTATAAAAATAATATTTTAATTGCCCATTTAGAAAGTCTCTTCTTCCTCGTCTTCATCTGAAGTACTATCTGGACTGTTTACTTCTTCAAATAATTCTTTTACATTATCGGGAAAGTGCCTCATTCTTCTTTTCACTGTGTGAAGTTCACTTCAAAAAATCTAATACCATAAACATTACATTCTAATTATAGTAATACTAGCTGAAATTTTATATAACAAATTAAATCTTACTTGTTAAAAAACTTTGTTTGAAGACATATTTTAATAGCGTTAACTGCTTCTTGAATCTCTAGACACGTGTTATTTTTGTCGATTTGTAAGCGCGAACACACATAATTTAGGGCTATTTTCTTTTTATCGTCATTAGAATTAGCACCAATATTTAAATGAATGATATTATAAATATCTTTCTTTAAAATTATTTTTGTAGCTGCCATAATAGTGATTGAAGTATTAGAAAATTATAAGTACAACAACGACCGCGACGCAAACACTGTTACTGCACATAAACGATAAAACTATGACTAAAATTGGCGTACAATATATTACTTTTTGAGTCGTAACTAAGGAGGGGGCAGATACGGGCAGAAAAGTTGTGCACTATATTAAAGTGGAGATAGTTACTATCTATAAAATGTGACAATGGATGGGGAACACAGGGGATAAGTGTATTTTAATCACTTTTTTCCTTTATTATAATGGTTGTTATTACCGATACCGTTATTAAACGTCAAATTTAACACAAAATATAAAACCACTATTGGAAATAACACATTCATACAAGTCTTTAACAAATATGCTATTAAATATTTAACAACTATTTGGTGATTCATAACATTAGAATTTACTTATTAATGATTTACAAACGGGGATAACTATTCGAAAATGTTTACATTATGGTACTTTTTCAAATTAAAATAGTAATTTTAACAGTAAAAATTTTTTTATTTCGAAATTTGTTTGCAAAACACAATTTACCAACTAATAAACTTAAATATTTCTACCCTTTTATTAAAAAAAAAAAAAATAAAAAAAATAGACTTTCGGCCAGCTTTTTTCGATTTTAAAACACTGTGCAGCGCCATCTGTGAGATAAGAAATATTTTGTTATATAAAATACCGCCTTAGTAGTTCATGCTTAAACTGTTCACTCTTTAAGCAGTAATTATTTTCTGATAATATTCTATAAATAGTATCATTATTATCTTGAACTGTGTTATTAATAATTGTTTTTCAAAAATTAAAAAGTAAATTTATTATCAGTTATTATCACTAATATCACTATTCTTTAGTGTTATCCTATAAAAAACGTAGTTCGTACTACTAACAGGCAGAGTGCAGTTACATCGCATGTGTACGAACCCTGTACAACTTTGTGTCCGTGATTTTCTCTGTAGTGTCCAGTCCTCCAGTCCTGTGTAGTAGTTCATGCTTTATACATAGAGTATATAGAGGAGCCCTAATTGAAATAATATGAAGCGGAAATGGAAACAAAACAGTGTAGGCAAACTATAGAAAATATTTTATTGTATATGAACTATAATACAATATTTATTGTAATTTAATTATATTACTCATTATTATTACTCAATTATATCATATTGTTCTATGGTTATATTAACCTTTATTTATAACTATCAATATAATATTAATTATTATAATATTACTGAACTGAACTTGATTTGCACAAATACGTAAATACCTACTATTATAATATGTTATGGGAGGGTAGTAACTTTTTGGTGAGGAAATTATCAGTACTATCAATACTTAAATTATTGTAACACACCAGCATCTTAGGTTTGTTCTTAAAATAGTTCCTGAGTAAAAAGTATTATAACCACAGATATATACAATAACTAGATAGCTAACTATCGTAACAGTCGGAAGTCAACCGCCATATGCGTGGTAGTCAATGTTTACATTAATTATTGTTATCATTTCTTATCACTATGAAATACAATATATTAAATTAAATTGTTATTACTTATTACTAATAATAATTAATAAGTAATTTATTTAAATATAAAATAAAATTTTTAAGTACGTATAAGTATAAGTAGTATAACAAATATATAACTATATAATATATAATATTATATAAATGTATGAACCACGGAAAAGAGATTAAACAAGTATAACCAGGTAAAAACTATAAGTGGGTACTCGACCAATATAATACATTTTCACAAAATATCTTAAATATATTACGATCAAGCACAAATTTATTATTGACAAGTGCAATTATTTTATTTTCTAAATTTGGTATATTTATGTTTTTCAAGTTATCAGTTAGAAGCAAAAAGAAATGTTCTGCGGCATATTTAATTAAGTACTTAAAAATCACATAAAACAATTTTTTTTATGAAAAATGAAAATTATATTAGCAATAATTGACTGTACATAATACAAAGATGTATGCAATAAATTATTGATATAATATCTGTACAATAATATGATGATAAATTCGAATTGATAAAGTGATAACAAACAAAAACATTGACTACCACGCATATGGCGTTCGGCTTCTTAATCATAGTGCGTCAGATATAATCAGTTAGCTATCTAGTTATTGTATATATCTGTGCATAATTCATAATACTTATTCTGATAGGGCATCTCTATATACTCTATGACTTTATACCATAAAAAAAAAAATCAAAATATATGATATATCAAAATATCGATATCAATTAATAAATTTTACATTTTATCAATATGGATTTTCTCAATATATATTATATTTTATAATGGTTATTTTAAATTACTTTTTTACTTTTTATAATAAATTAATTTTGGTATCCAAAACTTTATACGCTTTTATAGCTATTACTTATTAGCTAACTCTCTACGTAGATAAGAACAATTTCTACTAACATTCTAATACACTTCACTTAAAGCAAAATGTATGCGAAATGCCGGGAAAACACCACGAAAATCTCCCTAACCTAACCTTCACGCAGGAACTCGCCCAACCACCAGTACGATAGGGGTCTACACTGCTCTCGCCACCCAGTGTTAATCTGTTCTCACTTTTGTCCATGAACTTCTTAGTTCTTCATTTTGGCTCTTATTGTCTATTAGGGGTGAGCGCGTTTTAAGATATTTCTTAAATCGTGAGGGCGGATGTACCGCTGTACCATGGAAACGGAAAAATAAACAACGACTGGATCAGTGTGACAAACAATAATCACGACACATGATAACCGTGAACATTTCAACCTACGTTAACAATTATTAACTTACTGTTTTATGAAGTTCAACAAATTATAATTACAAAAAGACAAGGCTTTCTTGAAATATTTGAAAGCTTGTACCACATTAATATTCCAACTTTTCCTGCTGTTTTTCACAATTATTAAGAAAATTACTAGGACTTCCTTCTTTTGACCCCGAGTACCAACTGTAACGTCTTAGTAATTAGTTTTAATTTTCTACTAGAAAGTAGAAAACAGAAACCATATAATACTGCTTAGTATTAATAATTAAAATACATCATTGGAAAACCAGTTGCATATTTCTTGATTGGTGCTCCTCTCAGCGGAATCTAGAAATGTCATACCAAATCACTGGTGTATTTCAGGCTGGGATAGGGGTACCCATGACTTAACTAGAGATCCATATTTATATACTTAATATTTATTGGTACTAATATAGTAGGAATATTTTACAGAAACAACAAATAAACACCCAAATCCCCAAATCCCCTGTGGTAGCTGTAACTAAGATAATATTAATTCGTAATACACACTAATCACTAGTGCAAATTGAATATTGCACAAATATATTGAAATGATGCAGTTTAGCTAGAGTTTTGGGAATTTGTTGCAATCAGAGTTTGTTGGTCAGACTTAGTTCCAAGGTAATTACCTTTTGATGATTGAAATTTTGAGTATTTTACGTCTACGCAGATTATTTCATGAATCTACTCAAAAAAGTACATTTAAAACTTTATTTAATAGTATGTAATTATTTATTTTTTATTATTCATTAATTATTAGTTATTTTTTATGTATGCCTGGATTTATTACATGTACCCTACTCACATTATACAGATCACAATGGTCAGACTGAGAGGTTTTTATGATATAAACTATTTTTTTTGGTAGGTTGTTGGGGGTAAATGTTTCAATCCTCCGCCTCACAAAGTCACAAACATGACCAAATTACGCAACTGTAAGAATCAAAAAGGTAATATGTTAATATATAACATAATTTGGTAGTTAGTGATTGCATTAGTGACATGTAACCGTTTACAGTTATTTCATCTCATTTTCCAATCATTACAAAATGCTAACTAAATCTACGATTTTATTACATTTATTATGATAAAAATTAGCCTATTTAAATAATAAAAAAAACATGTGTTGTAAAATAGTTTATTAACTATTTATAATATTATGTTCTACACTACAATAATTTATTAGTTTATTTTATTCATTTGGAATTGTAGGTTTATAATATTCCTTAACATTTTCTGGTAATGACTTAATTTCAAATGCACCAACTTCACTCAATAATTGATTTTTCTCATAGAAATACTGCCTGAACCAATTAAGGTGATCTTTTTTTTCTTCAACAGACAGGAATGGATTTTTTGACAAGCCAACACATACCAATTCCATAAAATGTCTGATTGGTCCTTTTTTCGGGCACCATTCATCAATTAGTGGTTCTAAAAACACATGTTCAGCAAAGAACACATTGTTTTCATCGTCCATACCTTGTTCGTTGTTAATAGGAAATTTCCACAATTTTCCTTGTTCCGTCCAAATAATCATTTGTTCATAAATATTTTTCGGTGGATGCGTTACTGCTGTTTGTAAACTCTTTTCGTGTAATCTATCCCACGTAGGCAATGTTGGGATATCTTTTTTTGTATCAAAGTTTTTAAATATACCAAGAGGTTCACTGCTAAATAAATTAATTGGCATATAATTATCCATTGGCTTTCTGTATTTTTTAGTTCTTTGATGGTCACCTGAACTATGACCTAACAATTCTCTTACTCGTTGGGCTTTATCAACAGCACTAAACTCTACAGACTTTTTTGGTTGGGAACGATCAATTTTCATTCCAGATAGTAGATCATCTAACTGAACAGAAGATTTCACCTTTTTTTCAGAAGAATCATTAGGTTCATTGTTGTAAATTCTCAGCAAATTCAATAAATCCGATTTTGTTTTATTGGTGTCACCTCCAATTGATTGGGCAACTTTGGTGGCTGCATCAGATAATTTTTCACCCAATGGCTTGTTCTGCTTAGAATCATCAATATTTTGTTTATTTTGTTCCGATTTTCTAGCCAATTGTCTAGGTTGTGCCAATTCAATAGGTTTTGATTGTTGAGGAGGCATTTCCGTGTCATTCCCTTTCTTCATGGATTTCAGCAGATTATTCAGTTTCTCAACAGCTAATTGGTTCTTTTTTGAACTATTATCATCATCAGATTTGAAACGCTGAGTCAGACAATAAACACCACGAATACGTTTTGAACTGTTAATATATGGTATGCACTTGATAGACAAAGTAGGATTCATGTTGAATTTTGTACTTGAATTCTATTTCTTTAAATTTCCTAAAAAAAAAAATTTAAAAAAATTAATATAAAATTCACAAAAGAAACTGTTATTCAGAACGAGATGAAAACAATCATTTATCTTACTTGTCTTTCCGAGGAGTTCCCAATTCAAAATATCAACTTCAAAAGTTATTAACACTATAGAGACATAATATTTAAAGCTAAACAATCACCTAAGTACACTGTGACTGGAAGAACTAAGAAGTGGAGACAATGATTTAAAACAATATAATAGCCAATATTTAGATGCCTGCCTAAATTGTACAATATTGAAAATCAAGAATTGTCAAGATTCGTGTATCCAACTCTATGATAACGAGAATCAAAATAAATGATAATTGATAACAGTCAACAATCTCAAGAGTTATCTTCATTCGTGAATCATAATCATTAATCTTTCTATAAGAAATTATTCTTAAGACTGTGATCGTGATCATAATATTAATGATCATGAATTAATCATCCATTTTTGTCATGGAAATGATGGAATGAGTCATGAATCATGATTAAAGATAATATACCCATGACGTTGTTCTGTGCTATGACTTAATATGAGTAATGAATTTACCATTTACGTCCTGCTTTGAAATTTGGATAGTTAAATACTCAAATTAATTTAAATCAAGATTAACCATTCACAAATCAGTAATCACACTAAAATTCACATTTCACACCAATCAGTAATTAGTTTTGTTTCTTGATCTTGTCGAATTCATAATAACAAACGATTTAAATTCATTAAAATATTCTTTATAACATGCCTACAGAAATAATAAAATGGCTGTTATTGAATTCTATTCAGATTTCAGTTGACTAATTATTGTTGTTCATAGATTTTGAATTCCATCGTTACGTTTAGTATGGTATATTATATTTTACAATGCACATCAACGAACCACAGATGTTATAATATGAACCTTGCAGCTACAATAATCGTTTCAAACGTAAAATAATGTTTTGGGCTTTGAGGCTTCACTGATACCACTTTCCCAACCACTATAAGTCATACTCATACATCATGGTAAAGCTTAATCTTGGATACTGTAACAGTTGTAAACTTTAAACTTTAAAAACTAACACAAAATAAGAGGGAGGTACTGTCAACCTAAAATTATGTAGGTACTGTTTTCATTTAAATAGAGAACAAATGAAATAATTTGGGATAAGATTTTATGTACTGTAGGTATCTGATAAAACTTCGGTTTTGCACAAAATAAATTGGGAAAAGGTTTTTTGTTAGATCAGTGTATTTCAGATTGGGGCTGTGCAGCGTGCATACTATGGTTGGATAAAAGTTAAAAGACCATAAAATGCAAATTAAATTGTTAATAGGAAATAGAAAACAAACTATGCTCTTAAAGAATGCATTATTAGTTATAAAATTTATAATCCAAGGTACTCTAAAGAAGTCATCTACTTATTATTTAAAAAAAAAAATCACATTTTTACTTGCCGTTTCCTTATAAACCCATAAATAAATATAATATCTATGTACATGCTATTAAGTTACGTTTATAGTGTCTGTGCCACAAATGTAAAATAAAATAATAAATTATATCAAGAACCCGATTCCTCATAAATTTAAATTATTATTCTTATTAAAACAAAATTTAATGTTGATGTAACTTATTATGATTTCAGTTGATATTTTTTACAATAAATTGTTCATATTCAAATATTATTGTTAATACCATAATATCTAGACACAAATAACAGTTAGTTGATGATTTTCATTTAAATTAAATATGCTTCTAAAATATAAATCAACAACTTTAATATTATAACCAACTGGCTCATACATTATAATGTAATATACCTAATCTAAAATAAATAAAAAATGAAAATATTAGTGTTGATTGTTTATTTTTAATTAAATACAATAACATAAATTGTTATTTGTTACACACAAATATATTAACATTAAATATTAACATAGGTATTCTTTAACAGTTGAGTAACTTTGCTTAACTAATAAATTATAATGCATAATAAACAGACAATTTAACATAAACTTAAACGTATTAAAACTATTGTTATTAGGTATTAACAATAATAATAAATTACAAGTTAATAATATTTTCATAATATTTACGCTAGCATTATTGTTGGCATCGAAGAGAAAATAATCTTAATTATTACGGTTTAAAACTTAATGTAAAAACAATAATAAAACTTAAAGACATAAATAAAGTAAATTATCCATAATGTATTTTCAAGTTTATTTTTTTTTAATAATATATGGGCATAATTTAAAATATCATTTAAGTGACAGTTTTATAAAAAAAAAATGTTATTAAAATAGGTATAAAACAGATTATATTATTATTCAACATATTATATAATAGTAAAACTAAAAACATTTTTATTAACAAAAAAAAATTATAATAATAATAATACCAAGAACTTAATATTATACGTTAAATGTCATTTCGGCCAGTATATTATTAAAAATTATCAAAATTATAAAAACTAAAACTATTATATAAAAAAGAAATGAAGTTAGGTATATTTTTTACATGATAAAATATAAACATAACATATACATTACATTTTAATTTATTTTATATCAAAATATAATGTATCTAATGCTGTATATAGGTAACACAGAACTAGTTGTTATATTAATTGCTTATGAGAAGGTTTAAAAATTAATAATATTATGTTATTCATGAAGTAAACTTAAAGTTAAAGATTTAAATGATATATCATCCTTTTTTTTTTTTTTGTACTTAAAGGACTTTAACAATTTTAAATAATATTTATTCCAGGCCGAAATGAATTTTAGAAGTATAATGACAATATGAAAACTTCTTTTTATATGCACACTGCGCAAAAATAATAAAAACATAAATATTATAGAGTGCTGTATCACAGCTTGTGACGAAGAAATATTTATCATGCCGCAAATAACATATGTTATTTATAACTAGCGTAACTATAGAAAAATCACATATTTTCATAAAACGTATACAATAAAAAAAATTCACAAACTTTTTATAAAAAAATAATTTGAGACCCTTCATAAAAAAAAAAAACTATAATTATCATCACAGAGTTCAAGTTACAATCTAAACATAGAAAAAACAGAGTTAAGTAAGTTACAATATTGTACTTTCAAAATGAATAGTAACGCTTAGATTTTTGTCCAACCAGACGCCTCTTATGCCATGTGCTTAAAGCCATCGGGACTCGTTTAGAGGTAGTGGTAGTTCTATTAGTTGAGGGACATTGAGTAGATCGTGTTTCTGTACAACTGGCTAAGTATTCCCTTTTAAATTGTAAAGTAGAGATCTCGGCTAACTCTGACATTTTTAATGTAACATTCTTGTATACATCAATAGCATTTGGCCGATCGAGAGGATTGGGATCAATCATATTTGCTATAAGTAAACTTAATCCAAAATCTTCTATATCCGGTACAAATCCATCTCTTAAAAAATGCCATTCTGGTCCATCGCTTGGCAATCTTAAAGCTGAAACGGCTTCATATACAGTCATTCCTAATGAAAATATATCAACTTTCATTATCGTTGAACTATCGTATTTTCCACTTAACATTTCTTTAGGTAAATATCGGCCATCGCCATCTTCCACATCACTTAAATTGTCTGTATGTGCTACATGGCCAAGATCACCAATTTTGTAAATTATATCTCTATCAACTTTATCTTCATCTATTTTCAGGAACTTAGAATGACTTATCATGATATTTGCAGGTTTTATGTCTAAATGTACCATTTTTGACATATGCATGTAATGAAGGCCATTTGATAAATGAGATAGTAGACGCTCGATGGCAGCATCATTGAAATTGTGGTGCTTTGTAAATATCATTTCATCTAGATTTCCACCTTCGCAATATTCTAGTTGTATAAAGACTGAATTACTCTCATTCCACGCAGAATGATAAGCAACTATATTTGGATGACTAAATAATGCAGCATTAGCATAAACCTCTTTACGGGCATAATTTTCTCGTCTAGTTCCAACTACTTTTTTAAGTGTTTTTTTAATAGCATATGGCATTCCTTCTAGCATATTAATACACTTATAAACTTCACCAAAATCTCCTTTTCCAATTAAATCTTCTACTTTAAATTCTTTAAAATACCTGGATACTTCAAGATCAGTTAGCTCAACATTTGTTAAATCTTTAGACCAGTTGTCAAGTGTTGATGATTCATTATTATTATTATTGTTATTGTTATTTGTCCATTTTAACCGTAGGTCAGTTGCTGCAGGAGAGAATGGGTTTATGCTAAATTGTTTAGGTTTAGATATTGTTGATTCATTGAGTAATTGACATGAATTCTTATTTTCACATAATTTAGATTTTATAGAAGATAGGGGTCGATCCAATATACCTTCTTCCAGTTTAAGAACACGAATCCTCTTTATAGGAGGAGAATATGTTGATTCATCTTTTTGAGGTGAATCCGCTTTTGAAGGTGAAGCTAAATGCTCAGCAAACCTTAATGGAATTGTAGGTCGATGTTTACGACTGGCAGGTGTCATGGGTGGAATATATTGTACATGGTTAGGTGGTGTTTTAGGAGACTCTTGTATGTTGGCAGTAATAAGACAAGGTTCATCAGAGTCACTGAAATTTAAACGTCTAGGTAACAATGTAACTGGGCTAAACAATCGTTGTACGTCCACGCCGTCCATGTTTGGTCAAATAAATTTGAATTTTTTTCAAGTGTAATTTGTCAACACACAAATTGAACATTGTAATACACTGTCTTGAATTACACAAGACCTGAAAAAAATATAAAATATACTTAATTAAAAAGTGAAATTAATAAAAAAAAAACAATATTTTTATCATACTTAGTATTCAATAAATGACAATAATTGAAGGGTGGGCGGGAATAATGTGCTATGTAGCAAATCGTAAATGTTCAGGAACAACTAAAAACGAAAAACGTATTATACATATATTATACGGTTTCCAAGTTTATACACAATGATTGTGTACGATAAAAACATTCTGGGAATTTTTCGAATATGTCGAGATTGTTTCATAGCACGTTATTCCACAAAAACATGAAAATTGAAAAAATTTTACATAGCACGTTATTCCCGCCCACCCTTCAATTGTCAATTATTGACAAGATCAAATATTAAGTATTACACTATTATAACTACAAAAGCCTGGATTAAAGGGTGAGCCAAGGGCCCGGGGCCCATTGACTTTGGGGGCCCATCTTTATATAATTATATATGACTATATAACTACATATATTTATATTTTTTTTTTAACGCATCCAATAGTATTAAAACAAAAAATTTTTTTTTAAGTAGGTAGGTATAGTAGGTAATTGTTCTCAATTTTATATCACGAAAAATTACTATAAATAATGAAATATGTTTGCCAACAATTTTGTTTGTTTCTTTTTTTTTATGAGCATTTTCGATTACCGATTTAACTATTTATTATATAAAAAGGGTAGTTATAAGAAAAAAATATTTAGCTCTTGTATATTAGGTATTTCAGTTAAAAGTATTAATGCATATTATTATTTATTATACTAAACTTTAGAGGACCATAGTGAACATAGTGAACCAAAATTGATAATTGACTATCAAAATGTTCTGAAAAAAAGCTTTACCAGAATCCATAAAATAATAAAGTGGTAAGGTAGGTACCATTTAAAAAAATAGAGTCGATTTTATAATTGGTACAACCGCGTGTTTAAAAATTTTGAAAAAAGTCATAAAAAGATTGACTTTTAAAAATGACGAAACACACCTTTTTTCGTTTTAACGAATTTCCATATTGTTCAAAAAAAAAACCTGCGTAGGTACAATGACATAAGATACATTCTGTATATTTTTTGTATATTAAAAAACTATACAATAATATAGTCTTTAATATGAAATGATACAATTATTTTGAAGTTAAAGTTGAAATGGGGCCCACTAAGTGTATGGTGTCCCGGGGCCCAATTGATCCTTAATCCAGGCTTGTAACTACCTACCTACCACAAGAACCCTGTGGTTAAGTATTTTTCCTGTAAGTTTATAAAAATAAATGTAGCAACCTATTTATACTGATCAGTATTAAAATAAACCTCGAAATAAACATAGGTACCTACCTACTTATTTTAGTACAAAAGTGTTGTACTAAAAATAAACAAGTCTGACCATGAAAATAGAAATGATTCATTTAAATAATAATTAGTGGAATTCCCTGTGAATTTTCAATGCAAATTAAATATAATTATCACCTAAAATTAATTACAGATTGAAATTGCTTGAAGTTAAAAGTACCGATCCTTAGATCTATTAGATAAAATGTTAAGCATATCAAACATAATTCCACGAAGTTTTAGATTAATTATATTCTAAGTAAATGAAAAAAAATTAATTTCTTCAGATTAAGTGTACTTGATATAAACTGAATTATTGTATAGAATTAGATACACCTACCAATACGGGTTAATTTACCGAAAATTTACCAAATTAAGTTTCAACGTGATCAATCTAGTTATCGTAAGTATTAAACAGAACCAAAATTATACACAACAGATACGAAAAAAACGCATCTAAATATTGCGTAATCCGGTCACAATCACGAAATCTTCGTCAAAAAAAATCTTTAAACTAAGGACCACAGTCAGAGGAGTACCTAGCTACCAAATATACCAGGATAAAAATGAATTTCAATTCGTAGTTTGTGTACTTACATGACTTTGAGGACATTTTAGATCGTCGATACTACGGTCCGACGAATGTGAGAGACGAATGATTTAATAGAAAAAAAACACTTTCACCACGGATAAAAAAACACCACTAGCTAATTTCGAAAGCGAATTGACAGACGACGAAGGCGTTCTCGGGCAGGTCGCCGTGGAAACACAATAACAACGAAAAAACGAAAAAACGAAACGAACAGTGTCGAGAAGGTAGAAACGAAGTAGCCCGTCGGCTCCAGACGGGTTTTAACGCGATTACGCGAATGTAAAAAATTAAAACGAGCGAAAAACTCGAAACTAGCGATAAAAACTTGACTGGCGGGCTAGGGCGCGCGCATGAGTCATACGGCGATCGAGTCTTCGAGATAATTGTAATATTGTTAAAATAATATCAAGATGAGCCGAAAAGTGTGCGGCACGTAGGGCGCCAAGCCACCAGATTGGCCGGTGTGGGTCATGTGACAGCGGTCCGGCGACACTGCAACGCGCAGTGTGTCCAACACTCCGACGCAAACTGCCGGGTGATTGTTGTCGTGCAAAGGTAAAGCGCGGGAAAACGCCGACGATTATGACGGCAGCTGTTGCTCCGTGCTCGCTTTTCGGAGGGTTGCTGCTGCTGCATTATGCACTCCGCCGCCGAAGCCTTTTATTATTGTGGTGTTATTTGTTATTGTTATCGTTATCGCCGGGCGAAGGGGGAAAAATAATAAATAATATGGAAATGGCGGGACGGAACTACGGGAGCAGCAGCTGCACTGCATCAGCTGCATTCTGGTTAATGCCTATTACACGTACGTCCTGATACCGAACTAGGAACTACTCCAATACTATATACACGACGTCTCAAAACCTGCCAAATGTTGTTGTTGTTGTTATTGTCGTCGTAGTCGTTTTCGAGTCCCACGTGCGTTTGTTTATCCAATGATAACATTGGAACAGCGCGTAATTTTCGTTCGCGCGCGCCGCTTTATATTTTTTTAGATAAATAATTATATATTTATTATGTCTTATTAGGCGGGCATGGGCGGAAAAGGGTGTATACATTAAATTAAATCTTTCGATGAAGTATTATGAATTATTTAGCTTTTTTTTTTTGTACCTACTTACAAACATATTAAAATACAATATTGAATAATATGCTGTTTTTCTTTTACATTAGTTCTAAAACATTATTAAAAAAAACATTAATTTATATTTTCCATAAAAGATATATTACATTTATTATTCTGAACCAGTTTCATACATTTTCTATGTTATCTCCCCTTTTAAATATTCTGGCTGCTCCAGTGACTTAACCTTAATCTTTATGATATACTGCACTACTGCAACTTCACTATAGTGCACTACTGCAGATCGTCACACTAAAGTTTGACCTTATAGTTGGGAGATAAATGTATAAAATATGTATAGTTTTCATATTAATTTTCATTAGCGCAATTCGATTTTTTATTAAACATAAAATAAATAATAACTAAAATGGCCAATTAATCGAAATTATAGGTTCCTACAATAACTTATTAAATAATAATATTACTTTAACCTTAATGGTTGAAGATCATAAGTGCACTTCTATATCGTATGTAAATATAAAATATTATACCAGCAACCTGCATGACTGAATTACATTTAAACATTAAACACAATATTATTACAGAATTACGTTTATGTATATTTGTATTTATAACTGGGCTCCACCCAAGCTTGAAATTGTTCTATTACAAAATGAACAACGAAAAGAAATATTATTTTACGGTATAATATAGAATTTTGGACGACGGGAAATGTGGGCATTCGATAAAATAATGAACTATTTTAGTCAGTAATAAAAAATATGACATAATTAAGTTATTGTGAATCATTCCTTACTTATTTAGATCATAGATAATAATTCTTCTATTATCTATGATTTTGATCATTAAGTAGTCATTGTTATTAAGGTCCACAAAAATAAAACCTTTTTAGATATTATGTATTTATGTCATGATTTCTAATATCAATCTATAGGGTTTTTACTATTGGCTTTAATTTGATCAACAGTGCATTATAATATTATATTAATTCTAATTTCTAGGTAATAACTTTTACATCTCTGATCTACATAATTGTATCAAAAAAATAATAATTGTTGGCAAGTGGCACTGTGGCAGCTAGTATAAGTGTAGTTATAAATATATTTTTTATGATCATTATTAATTATACCGGAAATTATTAATATTGAAATATATAATTAAATAATAAATGTTTGGTTACAATTGTACATAGTTTTTTGAAAGCAATAATAAGGTTTATCGCCTATATGGCTGTGTCCGTCATACGAGCCAAGCAATAGTAGAAAAGTGCATTAAAAAATTGCAGTTGCAGATCTATATAATATTATTATTCTACCTTGTTCGCAATTGTTTACTTTCAACTATTATTGTACGATAAATATTTGTGTAGTAGGTAGGTACCTACTGCAAAATACATTAATGTAATATGAAAAATATACCTAAGTACCTATATGATTTTACATCATATTTAAAGTTTAAAAGCCATATTATAAAATTTCAATAAATAATAATGTAAGTTTTATTTAGGTATACCTCAACCTATTAATTATGAAGTAAAATTTCGTCATCGTTTCCGGCTGTTTGTGATTGTTGATAATGAAATTTGTGTTAAATTTCGTGCATAAAACGTTGTTTAAGTGGTAGTCAATTAAAAAAAATCCTGTATTTATTCTATGGTTGTTGAAACACTATAATTAACAACACGATAATTAATCTGTTTTGTAAGTTGTAACTCGTATAGTAGCTGTCCATACTTCAATATACTTGATTAATAAAATCATTTAAAATTTTATTCAAGTCCATTATGCATTTAATACACCTTAAAACTTGTAATTTGTTTAGTTAAGTAAGCAATAAACGTTTTATTCAAATTTCGTATAGTAATAAATCGTTTAATTATGTAGGTACCTATGTAAAAAAA